TGATTGCTGATTGTATACTAAGCCTGGGTCTGCCTTTGAAGGAACTGCCAAATGCCTTCCAAAGTGGCCACTCCATTTGGCATTCCCAGGGTGGCTGATTTTCATATCAGAGACAAAACAAACTGCAGCCCATCCAGCATGGCCTCTAAAAGATTCTGGGAAGAATAGGCCTGTCTTTTTTGTCACCAGGGGCCCGAGGCTGGCTGGTCCACTGGGACAGCTCGTCACAGTAGGCCTCTTCTCACCAGAGTGCTGGATTTCCACTTGCCTTGGAAGAACATAGTCAGTGCTCATTATGAGCTGTGCTCTTCCGAGGCACTGGGGACTTGACACCAGGCACAGTGGTCAGCATGTCCCCATCATGGAGCTGACCTCCAGGAAAAAACCAGGCTCACTAACCTCACTTGTACCAATGTTTCCCTCCATATCCTCATGTAATCTTGGCTTTGACCCTGTGAGGTAGGAGGTAGGTACCATTCAGAGTCAGGCCGGCTCTAAACCACTAGGCATTGTGGCCTCCTGAGAGCTGCAGACCCAGTTTCAGTGACCATCACCTAGCCATCCTCTGAGGGAACCTCCTGTGGCTTTGTTCGTAGGGGTTTATCTGCCTGTGCCAGGCATCCTCCAACATCACAGAACCCTGGTCTAAACCACAGATGGTGGGTGTCTGCCCCAGGCTCATCTTCTTCCAAGGGTTGTGGGAAAAACCAGCAGAATACAGCCTGAATTCACCCTCCCACCTGGGTAGCGCAGGTGTATGCCAGCACAAGGGCGGGGGCCTGGGAGCTTGAGCTCTGAACTTCTCTTTGGTGTGGCTTAGGACATTTGCCCTTCCTGGGTTTGGGAGCCCTTGGCTTTCTAATGAGGGATTTGCAGGGATCCTCTAAGCACGGAACATGTTTTTCTTTCTTTCTTTCTTTTTTTTTTTTCTTAAAACCAGTAGCAACTCTTAAAAGAACAATACCAATTTTGTGTCATATGCTGATTATAAGTATTCTGCCAGTTCCTGGAAGAAAAAGGTTAGTGCCGATTAAAAGAAGAAAAGATTTGTCATGAATCTGTATTGGCTCCCAAGACAGCCTCTCTGACAGGCTGCTCAGAGGAGGGGTCTTCAGCGAAGGGCAAAAGGGCCAGCAGCTCAGACTATGTCTGCTGCAGGTTCTGCTCTGTGCCCAGCTCTGGCTGAAGATGCCCTGCACCCTACTTGTCCTAAAGTCCCACTGTCTCCAGACCATGCTGCCCAGTGGCTAGTCCCCTCTGAAGGTCATGCTGCCGGCTGAAACTTCACACTACACCCCTGGGCCACACATATACAGTTAGAAAAGGCTGATGAGTTGGAGAACCGGGCTAGTTGGATAGCTCTGAGTGAGTGGGACTCTGTGGCTCCCTCTTACTGTCTGTAATCCTTTGTAGGAGGAGTGTGCAGGTAGGAAGCACACCTTCTCACATTTGCATTGACAGCAGGTAGCAGGGACTTGGGACACAGCAGACACTCAATAAGTAGGCTGAGCTATCCTACCCACCTAAGTGGGGAAATACTTAATCATAAAGTATCATCCAAATGTTAGCTAGTATTAGCATTAATGCCAGCATTATTGTTAAGGTTGCTATTGGTATAATTTTTAATTCCCAAGTAGTCATCTTACTGTTACTGAAAGCCATGAGCATTGCGGAGATGGGGCATAGGTGTCAGTGGCCACACATTTGCAGTCAGACACTGGCCTCCCATTTTCCAATGAAAGTCTTCACCCAAGGCAGAGAGAAGATGGAGGAGGATTGAAAAACAGAGGGATATCAAAAAAAGCAGTGGCTGACAGCACCGTCCAGTGAAGGGCTAACTGTTTCTCCCCAGAACAGCAGGCTGGAGCTACAGCCCTCTGCTCCTTGAACGGGGCTTGCGTTTAATCTCTCCTGTCTGGGAGAACAGGAGCATCCACAGAAACTGGCCTTCACAGACAGCACAGCTGTTCACAGAGCCAAAGGCCAGGGAGATGGAGCCTGGATGATGCCCTTGGCCCATTTCCAGCCATTCCTGGAGATTGGAGAAAACAAGTCATTAGTCTCGAGCATTCCTTAATGAGCTAATAAAAGCCAGGCAAGCCAGATTATAAGTTTGGGAGCACCCAGGTCACTGTCTGGAAAGGCCCTGAAATGACTGAGACCCTTGTCCTGCCTGGGGGTGTGGGCTGTCATCTTGTCCATCCAGAGGTGCAGTGATGCCTAGCACCTGAAGGAGCATTGCTGCCTTTGAAGGTTGCTAGCTATCTCCACATTATCATTTCCAACCATAATCTTATTATCTGTTTGCGTTAGAAGGACCTTTGGAGTCATGCCTCCTTTTTACAGATAAGAAGATGGAGGGAAAGACTTGTCCAGAGATGCTGTTGGGTACCCACTGTCTCCCAGGCCTGGATTCTCTCTACCCCCTCCCTTTTCCTTTTTTTTTTTTTACTTGTAAGACTATTTTTTTGAGACTTTAAGTACATTCCAAGAAAAAGAAAATCCAGGTCACTGAAAAAAAAAAACAAAACCCATGCTATTTATTCACTCTCACTTGGAAAAGCTGTTAGCTCTAATGACCCTTTCCAAATTAATAAAATCTGTAAATGCTCAATTGTTTATTGCACACATTGAGTTGCACCTCTAAATGACTAGAGGGAACAGCAGCCTGCCAGGAATATTTAGCTCCAGGGCTCTGCAACCAGCAGAACTGCTATGTACCCAGGGCAGGGGAACTGTGGTTAGCGGCGTCTGAGCAGCCCTCGGTGCGACAGTCCTGTGCCAGACAGAGTGTGTTGCAGCAGTCCCTGTCCAGAGATTTACTGGGAGAGCGATACCCAGACATGGGCATAGAGAGTTCCTAAGCAAGTGCTTGACTGCAGCCTATGACATTCAGAGAATGAAACATTGGGAGGGATCTAGAAGATTCCTGAGCAGGTAAATGCAAGAAAGAGTAGGCTTAGGTCAGATCACCAGGGAAAAAGGCAGAGAACAGAGGGAAGGCAAAGGGGAAGTGTTACTGGAGTCCATGTATCTGGACAGGGACAAGGGACAGGGAGTGGGACTGTCCCCAAAAGAACAGCAGGTGCTGGAGGACCACACTTCAAGATGCAGGTGCAAGGTGTCTCTCGGCACCTCCCCCACGAGGCTGCACTGCACAGACACGATGCTTGCGAGCCACACTGACCAGTGTGTCCTTTAGTCTCCCTGTCCAAGCTTGTGAGTGACACCAGCCACTGGCTTCCAAGGTGAAGAAGGACAGAAGTCTTACAGAGAAATGCCATGCATGTCGTGCCACTGTGGAAAGGGGATTTTTAAAAACTGAAGTAGGATATGCATAACATAAAATTGAGAATTTCAACCACTTTTGACAGCGCAATTCGGTAGCATTGAGTACATTCGTGTTGTCGTACAGCCATCACCATCATCCATTTCCAGGACGTTTTCATCTTCCTGGACCCCTAAACCCATTGGACACCAACTTCCCTTTCCCCTCCCCAGCCCTTGCCAATCACCATCTACTTTCTGTCTCTAAAAATCTGACTACCCTAGGGACCTCATAAACGTGGAATCCTAAGCATTTGTCTTTTTGTGACTGGATTATTTCACTTTGCACCTGTCTTTGAGGTTCATCCATGTTGTAGCTCACATCAGAATTTCCTTCCTTTTTAAGGCTAAATTCGATTCCCTTTCATGTACGCGCCACATTTCGTTTATTTAATTACTGATGGACACTGGGCTTGCCTCTCCTTTTGGTTATGGTAAATAATTCTGTATAAACATGGGTTTACAAATACCTGTTTCAGAGCCTTGATAGGTTTTTGAGTTAAAGAAGAAAAAGTGCTTCAGGCATGCACATTATCAGGTGTGTCCTGCCTGCCCTGCCTGGGGTCACCTCACAAGGAGCAGATGCCAGTTTGTCAGTGCCCATGGGTAAAGCTTTTCCACCCTGAGCGGAGCTCCAAGTTCCAGTCTCCCAGCACCCAAGGGACTTAGAGCGGTGGGCTGTCCTATGCACCATGAGCTAAGCCTCCATGCTGTAGCTTGGGTCAAGGCCTCCTGTACCTTCCCTTCTCATTCTGAACTCCATCAGTCATGTCGCATTTGTTCCTCACTGAAGTAGCAAGTGCTTTGTACTCTTGCTTAGTAAGTTCTTTCCCTCACCTTCTAAAATGGATTTAGCCATGATTGTAAAAGCCAAGGAAAATCACTCAGGCACAATCTCCCTTCATGTCCAAGGAGCTTCTTCTCCCCCACTCCCTCGAAAATGTCCCTACACATCGGCAGAACCAAAGGGCATCCTGTCTTGAAGCATCACTACCTCGGGGCGTTAATTGCCCAAACTCACATTACAACACATTAAAGCGGTGACACACTCAGGCGGAAAGCAGGAGAATTCACAGTTCAGGTTGGCATTGTCGTTAACTCAAGTCTTTGGTGTCAACTGCCTCCCGCGCGGAGCCTTCCTGCCTGGCCTCACAGTCAACCTCCGCAATGCATTTTCTGGCCTTTGTTGGTTTGTGTCAGCTCTTGAACATTATTTAAATGTAGTTTGGGGTCCATGAATGCAATTACCATTGTGTTATTATTCAGAGGCAGATTGTTAAGATGCAGGCAGCTGTACAAGGAGATGCCCTGTGCTGTGAGGTCCAATTTAGGAGGGCCTTCGGAGCTGCACGCGCACGGTTGCTAAGCAACCCCATGCTGCAGAAGTGGAGGCCTCCCTGGCTCCGGAGTGGGAAGAAGCCCAGCGCCTTCAGGGAATTGGAGGCTGTGGTCAATCTGAGACTGGCAGGGCGCCGGGAGCGGGAGGAGGCGGTGTGGGCCAAGTCCACAGGCCTGCAGGAGTGGGGGCGCCCACCCAACACGGCGGGGTTCTCATGGAGGGGAGGGTGCCGCTGGGAGGGAGAATGGAGAGAAGGTACAGAAGCAAGGTCGGCCAGGAAAGCACCCAAGGATACACAGCAGATGCTAATTGCATCCCTTTCTTGTCTTTGCAGGAAGTGAACAGGTTTGCAGGAAAACTGGTGGCCTGAAATCGAAGACTAAGGTGTGGGTGCTTGTGAGTATGAGTTTTGCTTGCGGGGTTCTGTGTTTAACAATGTTCCTGGGAAGTGGGCGTGTTCCCAGATAGGGGAAAGGAGTGTGACCTGGGTGGAATCAGCTTTGGATTCTTCTGGAAGGTGCTTCTTGGTGGGCAGGACTGAACCCAGGCATGTAAGCATCAAGTGAAGGAGGGTGCTCTGAACCCCGGCTCTGCCCTCTAAGTAGAGGACATTCCTGCTGGCTTGGCAAGAGAGTTGTTCCCTTGGCTTGTGAGTTGTTGCAGGGTGGAGCAGGGCTCCCCTGGGAACAGAGAGGCATGCATCTGTGCAGTTCTAAGTTTGCTGCGAGATTAGCCCTATTTAGAACAGTAAATTCTCATAGAGACCGGGTAACCATGTGTTAATCTCAGAGCAATCATAGGTACCAATCCTGTCATCAGTCTGAGAAGTTCATTAACCACCGGGACGGGGCATGACCCAAAAGCCCGGAGCAAGCCTCGAGATGCAGCAGGCGCAGGCTTCACTTTGGAAGAGTGCTCAGTCCAGAGTGGGAAGAGAAGACATCTGCACATGAGACAAAGAACTTTCTGGAAGGATGCAGGGGTTGACCTTGGCTCCATGGCCCAGAAAGAAATGCTGGTGATGGGGAGTGGTCAGGAAAAACTCCCTGGGGAAGGAGAGACTTGATCAGGACAATGGGGGAGATAGGGAGGAGGAGTAGGGAGGCAAGAGCAGGGTAGAGGCCTGCAAGGTGAACTCTCAAAGGCCTGTGTGGAGGACAGCGCAGTGTGGGTCTGATGGGGGATGGGAGGGGACAGACAGAGGGACGACACAGGATGATGACAGACAACAGGTGTGTTAGTGAGATTCAGTGAGGTGCCCAAAGGGCTTGGAATGACTTCATGAATGGTTCAAATGGTTCAGATGCAAAGAACCAGGATGCAATAAAGTATCCCTCACCTATGTAAATAAAAGTAAGTTTCTGCCAGTCTGTTGCTCGGTCATGTGAAAAGGGCTGCGTGAATTATTTAGCAGACTTGAAGTTGACCTTGAGATCAGTACCTAGACACTGGAAACGCACATTGGGGATCTTGCCTAGGTGAGAGAGAGAGGGAGAGAGAGAGAGAGAGCGAGCTTCCACAGACAGTGGCATCTGAAGGTCACCGGCATCCTTAAGACTAGTGTTAAGGATACATTCTTGGTAGACACCAAGATGGTGCTCCCAACTTTCCAGTTGCTCTTCCTTAGACCTTCTGGTGCTCAGGCTGAGGGGCACCTGGGATTTATTTATTTAACCAAAGTCAGTTCAATATTTTTGTTCCAAGAAAGGGGAGGGGGGGGAGCCTGGCTCTAAATCTCAACAGGAATATCCAGTATTGATACAGCATCGCCAGGTCAAGTGCAGTGCACTTGACAATCTAGCCTCAGAGGAGCTTTCCAAGGCTCTGCTGGAGTGTCCCATGTTGGAACTGAGAAAAATGAGGCTTGGAGTAACTAAATCTTTGCTCGAGTTTGCTGAGTGCCTAGGTGGCAGCACTAAGATGTCACAGTGACTTTTCACTACCCATGACTGGCTCTTCCTCTCTGATTATGAGGCAGATCTTCCAGGGCAGGTGCATCCCTCAGGAGGAAGCAGGGTGACTGTTAATGGTCCCACGGGGCCCGTTATTGGCACTCTGTCTGTTCTAGAAGCCAATGTGTTGCTGTCATTGCTTTCCTGTGCTGGACGTGTACATCAGACCAGTGGCCTTCCAGGGGCAAGGGGTTGTTATGGCTATGCTCCCAAAGAGAAAGACTGTGTGCATCTGAGATGACACCAGGCACTATTTTCTGTCAACACCAGAGGGCTGTTTAGAGCCATAGATGAGTGATGTGTTGGGGTTTTCTGGAACGTTTCAGGTGCAGGTGAGGCATCTAGGGAAATCTCCAAGGAGCACTTGTCAGGGAGACAGGGAAGAAGGAGATGCAGAGCAAGGATGCACACTCAGGGTGAGTCACCTTGGCTCCACAAATTGCACTATGGCCATGTCTGTTTTGGAGACAAGAGTTGGGGTTTGTGTACCCCCTTATTTATCAGCAGCCACCCCCAGAGTGTTTCTGGTGGCACTACCTCCACAGCATTATCTGAATCAAGATCATGGGTCCAGAGAATGTCCCAGGTGAACGTCACATGCCACACTTTCAGCAGCTGGGGGATGGGGGGTGTGCCAGCAGGTAAAGGGACCTAGGCAGGGCACCCATTGTGTTATCCATAGAAATTGATAATGCCAAGGTCTCTTTTTACTGAAAATAATATGTGCTTTTGTAGCCGAAATTTTACTCTTAATAGGTAATACAGTTTCATGGCTCTTAATTTGAAAGTACTATAAAGTCTTCTATAAAAATTCTCCTCCCCATCCTTGACCCCAAGCCATTGCTCTCCTAGAAACAGCCAGTGTTACTAGAATTTTCTGTGACTTTCTTTGAGTCACAACAACATTGTGATTTAGATGTCCAAGTTTTGGTCAATCTGATGCCATAGTGAAAGATTCCACCTTCTCAGGCCTTGAGAGTCTGTAGTTTGGGGGATTCCAGAAGGAGCTAGGCTGAAATGTGCCTTTTCTTTGGAGAAAGAATAATTCATGGCCTGAGTCAACTCCCAGTGGAATGTTTAGGATGCACAGAAACTTCCCAAACATTTCTGAACACTTCAGAGTTACTGTATAAACAAGTGGTACAGGGATTGCAAATTATTATTTCTGATCTCATGTAATAATTATTTAAAGCCAATCACACACAGTTTGAGAATATTGTGTTGTAGCCTTTTGAAATCCTAAATCTTTAAAATAATATACAATTTTAGTACATGCACTATTTAGTGCAAATTACTGAGGTCTCTCTGCATTTATTATCTTATGTCATTTGCATATCATTTAATGACTTTCTGAAAAGCGAGTTCTATTTCCAAAGTGCATTAATATCTACTGCATTTTATCACCTTGTGAATTGTCCCGGTAGTTTCCTTGGATGAGGTGACTTGACTACAATTTGGAGGCACAGGACCTGGCCAGCCATGAAACTGGCTTCCTTACTGGTGAGCTCCCTGTCATAGGAAGTGTTCAAAGAGTAGCCTGGTCATCTGTCAGCAATGACATAGAAAATCTATACCATGTGACAGGCAGGTACAGAATACTTTTTTTTTTTTAGTACTAGGGTTTGAATTCAGAGCTTTTGCACTTGCTAGGCAGGTGTTCTTTTTTTTGAGCCATCCTGGCTCTTTTTTGCTTTAGTTACTTTTTTAGGAAGGGTCTTTCGTTTTTGCCTGGGGCTAGCTTCAGACTTTAATCTTCCTACTTCCAACTCCTGATTACAGGCATGGCTTGTTCTTTGAAATAGGACCTTGCTAACTTTTTGCCCCTGCTGGCCTCGAACCATGATCCTCCTATCTCTGCCTCAGAACACAGCTAAGTTCTGCCACAACTGGGGCTAGCCTGGGTATCCTGCTTGTCATCCTTGCCTTTATAAGTCACCTATCTCACTAGATCCCAGGCACTTCAGAATCTTGGTTTCATGGGTTTGGTTTAATACTTAAAAATGTCCAAATAGAGCTTATTTCAAAACCTTATAGGCCCGATGTGTATGTTTTTCTCTTGCAAGCAAACTCCCTGCTTTCCTTTTTCCTCTGTGTTTACAAGAAATCCTGTAACCGGTGCATGGCCTATTCCAACCCCAAGAATGGTTTTGGTGGCACCCCCATGAGGCCATGAAAAAAAATCTCATTTCCGTCTGAGAAATAGAATCATTATCTTGATTGAAATAATATCTTTCCTCAACCAGATAAAGGATCAAATTGGTGGAGTTTCCTTATCACTGCCGAGTTTGCGGGACACAGAGTAATGGCCTGTCACTGCCTCTGTATTGCAGAGCCTGCAGTGGCTCCTGGCCCGCTTTGCATGATTCCATGTCTGTTGCAATGTAAAACAACGTCATTAATGAGAAGTGTCATTATATGAAAAGTAGAGGTGGCACAGGGCCTGGAGCAGCATAAGCAATGAAAGTGCCCACCAGTATTCTTCCGGTGGTTGTATTTCTTAGACAGCGTCTAACATGTGGAGGCAATTGTGGGAGCCACCAAGCACTGTGGATGTTTTTATCCCTGTAGGATGAGAGTGGCTGGAGCCCTGCCCTCTTGCGCCCGCCCCCCCACCCTCCGCCAGCCGCCCAAGACTGAGCTTCTGGACTGCAGTTGGGGTGACTGGGCTTGAGAAGGCTAACTAGACTTAGTTTGGGCTGGCAAGCAGGACAGTCAGAAGCCTGCACACTGGCTGAGAGTGGGCCTGGCTTCCTGTCCCCTACCCCATTGTTACCTTGCAGTCCTGGGCTCCTGGGGCCTCAGTTTCCTTATGGTTTAGAAGGGTAGCCCTGGGGCATCAGGAGAAGGAGGTGAGGCAACGTTTGTGCAAAGTCCAGGATCCTGGCTGTCCCCATCCACTGAGCAGGGAGGCTGTGTCTCACCCCAGGCAGGTCTTTCAGGTGTCAAAATGCTGACTCCTTCAAGGACTCTTTTCCTCTATGTGCTGCTTTGCCCATGCATTCCAGCATCAAAGGAGAACTTAGCATCAGAGAGCAACTGCTGTTTTTGAGTGCTCATGGGTGATGGGCATGGTTCTAATCATTTTCCATGCATTAACTCACTTGATCTTCACAGCTGTCTCATGCACAGATTGTTTACTATCTGCCTTTGACTAGTAGAAAGGGACACAGAGGTTATGTGACTTGCCCAAGGTCACACAACCAGTAAATGGTAGAGCTGAGATCTAAAGCCAAGAAGGCCACTTGGAGCTTTAGAAACTTAAAATAGACCACATCAGGGCTGAATAATGCAGTCTAAGCAGCTCAGAGTTTCACCAGACTCTCAGCCATAATTCTACAGTAGAGAGGAGTGATAATAATTACATCTTCATCGTGTGCCTGGAGGTCACAGAGGTGGTTTCTATCCCAAGTGGGAGGCTGAATGACACTCTAACCATGGTGACAG